TATACTCTAAAGACAGTGACGTGCAAGTTAAAGGTTTGACTGTGAGTATTGTATATGTAACTGTAAGGATAAATTAATAACATATTTAATTTGCAACATTATTATTTAATTATTATCATTCTGACCATGCTGGTTGGAGTAAACAAAGAAAAAATATTAAGCATGCCCAAGTACTAAATATCTACATGTACATGTATATCAATGTATAAAAGAATCCTGTGTAAAGTTATATATAGTTACACAGAGAGAGAGAGAGAGAGAGAGAGAGAGAGAGAGAGAAAAGGGTCAATATAATTGAAAATCATGCATCAGTGATTTTTGTTTTTGTTTAATTCTCAAAAGATTTAATCACATTCTGTTCTATTTTCAGCAGATACTTTAATAATAAAGAATGGGTCAAAGAATTCTCACTTATGCTCATAACAGTACATGTAAGTTCAAAGGCAGAAGAAAATCTTTTAAAAAGAGAATTTATAAATACAGTTTGTTGTTGTTTCAGCAAACAATTTATTGAACTGAAAATTATGCTGATACATAAATCAGCATATTATGCAAACTGTAAATGATTGCATTACATTTTTTTCTGATTCGCATGTAGTGCATTGATATTTGTCAGTATTTTTCATTCATTTTTTTCTCACATAATTGCAAATGCTTGTATTTTATTTGGATTAAAAATTTAAGGATTGTATTAAAAATTATTAATCATATTTTAGTTCAGGGAACAAAACAAATTATTATGAAAGTTCAACCACAGGAACATGGGAATTAGGAAAGGATGTCAAGTCCAAAGAGAAGGTATGTTGATTACTGGTGATGATATGTTATTGATGTAAATAGAGTACAACAATAAAATAGAGAGAACAATAGTAATCCAGACAAAAAAATTAATCTTAATTCTTTTCAAGAATAGGCAGGTCATGATAAGTCACTCTGAGATAGTTAAGAGCAGATTTAGATTTGTTAGATCATATAGCTATAGGGTAGGGTGGGTCCCCAGTGGGGGATCAAAGTTTTATTCTGGAATATTTAAGGCTGAAGCCTTTTATTATGAAATCTATTCAAGATTATCAGGGTCACAATACATCATATTTTTTGAACGAATAATCCTAGTACAGAATCAAGGGTAATGGATGTGCCATAATTAGAAACAGAATCTTTATCTAGAAAGTCCTATGTAAATATTTGAAAATCATTTTGTTTATTTCTTGGTTTTTTAAATTAAGTAGAGATAAAAATAATATAAGTTTTCATAATTTAAATTCCTGTTTTATGGAGACTTTATTTTATATCTATGTAAGGTCAAAAAGATACAATTTTCAGAAAGAAAGCAATATTTTGGGGTTATGAAAAGGGGCATAACTTCGAGCTCATCATGATAGTAAATGATGGATGTCAGATAATGTGAAAAACGTGCACTGTTGGAAAACAAATGAATACAGTGCAGTCTGAATAAGTACAGTTAAACAACAGTATATTAAAATCAAACAACTTTGACTACCTAGGGTATGTTGACTTTCATGCCACTATTACAGATTGAATGAATGATTTGCAAACACTTTGAATTGCATACGATTTACTTTTGTTAATTTACTTTGCTCATTTTGAGCATATTTTTTCCATGCAGATTATTAATGAACAATGATAGATTAATTGAATTAGCAACTGTAAATGGCATACATGTATATGAATTTTATATACTCTGTTTGAACTTTGGTATATATCTTTGACACTGAGTGATATCATGAACACATTGAGATATCAAAGTCATTTTAAAGTCCCTTGAACGACATCTAATTACCATGAATCTCTTGAATATCTCAATTTTTTCAGCAGTCCCATAAGCATTTCAAGATTATTGATTTATTGATTCAATTAATTTATGATGAATTATAAAAATATCAATCATATACTTTAAATTTATGTTAATGCATTAACATTTTTTAGGCCATATAACAAATGATTGCTGAATTCATGAAGACTAGCTGGGATGATACAGTACTTTTCTACTCTTATGAACCATATCTAAACATCATTTGAGGATCCCTTTCTCAGAAAAAAAGAATTTGCATATTCAAAGACTCTATAGTTTATTGTTTATTTGTACGTTGTTTAACATTCTTCTTAGAATTTTTCACTCATATGGGGATGTCAACATTTGCCAGTGGAGAGCTGCAACTTTTTTCCTTTATACTTGGCACACATGACTAATTGAGCAATGAGGGATCTTTTTGAAGCTGCCCTCTGAACACAGGACCTCGTATATAAGTCTCATCTTTATGTCTGACTGTGCCATGCAGGTACTTTATAGGTTACAAAATAAAAAGATAAGACTGATGTTTTTAATTCAATTAGAGTAAAGAAAAAAAGTTTGCAAAAAAAGGGTGTAATAGCTACATGTAGCTCTCACTGGTATTGCATACTTAAACTACATTTGTATATATTTTCATATTTTAATTACACATGTATTTTAAACCAGATCAGTACAGAAAGAAACACTTAAAAATTTTTACTATGAATTTTATTATAAGGTTTATTATAAGGTTATATTCTTTAAAAAAAGGAACTTTAATTTTTTTCAGTAAGAAGAAAAAATATTTAGAATTTTAATACATGTCCTTTAAATTTTTTTTATTAACAAAATAGTCAAAACTTGGAGATCTTGTGAAGGGTATCTAAATATTGATTTATAATTTTTTCCTTCTTTTTTTTTTTAAAAAGCATAATATTTATTATAACATATGCCTGTAATATGCCTGTAATATACAACTTATTTGTTGTTGAACATTCCATTGTCTGTCTACATGTAGTGCTTAGTAAATTTCTTGTAAATACAAACATGATTGCATGCTATTTGTTACTTTTTTTCTTTTTTTTTTAACATGATATATAAATGGTGTGCATATCAGTTTAAATTATTTTTGTTGAATTCAGTTAAAAAAAAAAATGATAACGGAATATAATTATGTAGATAGATACCTTTCAGAAATATTTACATGTACTAGTAGCTGCAGATATGTTGCTTATGTGAAATCAGGTAACTTGAAAATCAATTTATGTATTTATTAAACAGAAATTAATGAACACATTCATATATCTATGCAGTATTTCATACTGAAAATACACTGTGTTAATGTTTTACTTATTCAATATAAAAATTGACCAGAAGTGATCTTGGGGAATAAAATTATATATCTCACATTATTTTTTTCTTTTCCCCCAATGGCAATTTTATCCCAATTTAAATATATATAAATTGATAAAAGAAGCTGACTATACCATATATAAATCATGAGTTGTCTTTCCTTGTTTAGAGAAAATGAATGCCCCCTTGGGTTCATGACCCTGAATATTAATAAGGTTGGGGGGTGTGTTAAATGTAAAGTAAACCGTCAACTGTAGAAGTCAGCGCTTCTTAAAAGTCCAATAGGCTCCTGGTGATAGCGGTCTTCACCTCATTGAAAATCTTTTTTAAAAAAATAAAATAAAAATCGTTTATATCACACTACCGAATTGGAACAATACATTAGTGTCGAGTCAAGTGATTTGAGGTCCCGTACGTGGTTGATGGAAGCCACTTTCTTTGAAAGCAAACACTGACCTTGAAAACCTCAGAGGTGGGATAAGGTCCCATAGAAGATCAATGAAATCAAGAAAGACACATGAGTCACATAAGAGTTTGATGTAGGATAACTTGTTGGGGAAACCCCCCCGCTTGAAAAGGGGGAGAGTATATAGTAATCGTTATGTCCGTCCGTCCGTCTGTACTTCATCTGTCTGTAGTCCGTCCGTCTGTCTGTTACGCTTTGGGGACCCCTTCTTTTCCGCAACTCCTCTTTACCACTGCGTGAAGGTTAATGAAACTTTCACAAATCTTTATTACATATTGCAATTGTGCACCTTCTATGTTACTTTTTGATCCGACACTGGACTTTGCCATTCTACCGGTCCCTATGAGAGGCGGGGGGCATCATTTAGTGAGCTCATTGCTCACAGCACCTCTAGTTTCCTTCAGTTATCGATTATACTCATAGCAATATGAAAAAATCAAAACAAATATAATTGAGTGTTATCAATTTGAACACAGTGCATTATTATAAATATTCAAGGAATGATTCTAATTCTTGCCCAAATTATTCGAGTATAACCTGGTTTGGGTCAATTCAGGCTTTCCTTTACCGAAAATATTGCTTTCCTGCAAATATTTCCCGTAATATGCAGCAGACATTGTTGAAAGCTTTTTGCAAGCATTCAAATCATGGATGGTTTCATGCAAACTTGCTGCGAACATTAAGTTGGCGTGTATGTTTCTTGCAATGTTCCTGCAAATTTGCTGTAATGTTTGCCGCAAGATTGCGGCTAGCGGCAATGATCATTTGCGAACAAGAAAATTGTCTTCTTGCGAATGATTTTCTTTGCTGCAAGCTTGCAGCAGACTTCCTTCAGACTTGCAGCAAACATATCAGTTTGGTTAGGGTTATAATCTGCGAAGGGTTTTCAATTAACACATTTAATTTCTTATACTTAAAAGGTATACTGGCCTATAGTTTGTAATACATGTATCGGACATTTTTAGATAAGTAAATTAGGAGTTTTGCGGGGTTTTCCTAGTTGGGAAGCGTCTGTTTATCGAATCAAAATAGGAGATATCGATGATTCTGATAAGAATTAATATGATATATTTTATTTTTCTCATTTTCGTGTTTTCGAAAGATGTACGGATCGGATAAGGGTTAAGTTACATTTTAATTATATCTTTTTCGTGTATATACTGTAAGATTAATACCAGATGTTCATCATTTCAAATATAAATATAAGCAGGAAAATTAGTATTTTTTCTGTGAAGGGATTCAATATTTCAAAGGTAGAGTCTAAAAACAATTATTTAAAAATATTTTGTATCAATGTCTAGACATCTTTTTTCAGTAACAAAAAAATATGAACGAACATTGATTACCATGTCGATGCGTATATTTTTGATTCGTGGTTTTTTTTCGCAGATGATGAAACTTTATCATATATTTTATTTTCTTCTTCACTTGTTCAATGCGGAAGTGAATGCAAGCATACAGGAAAGAGGTATGACTCTACTATTATATTGACAATACTTATTATATTTTCATGCCACGTATTTGAGAGAAAAAATAAAATTTCTCGTTTGTAGAAATTGGAAACAGGGAGGTTGTATATACAAGATGGGGAAAGAGTATGTGTCCTTCACACGCAAAATTAGTCTATTCAGGTAAAAAATAAAATCATTTTTTCGAAGAAAAAAAATATGGCACTAAATTTGACATCAGACAAAGATGGAACTATTTTTAATAAATGCAAAAGCAAATAAAAATTTATACAGCAAAGAACGTTTAAGGAAGCTCTAAACACTACAAAGTAAAGAGTTCTAATTCTAGGGTAGTTTTACAATCGGCAATCCTCGCCTGACTTTGCTACGGTCCATTCCAACTAAGGTTTGTGCGAGGTATGAGCCACCCGAGGAGCTCCGAGTGGTAGTGTCTTTCCTGATATACTTTATTTGCACAACTTCATATATATTTTTCTCAATGTCAAAAAAATCATAAATTTTCGTGTGGGGGAGGGTTCTTTTTGTTGTTTTCGAGGTATGAAGAGAGCCACGAATTCATGTCCACCTAAAATTGTAAAATGTTACATACAAAACTACTCATTAATTCTGCGTCCAATAATTCAAATCCCCCCGAACCAAGGTTTTTTGCTCAAACCACGAAAATTTGACCCCACGATAATAAGTGATTTTACAGTAGCCTAAATATGCACACCTTCATATATATTTTTCTCAAAGTCTAAAAAGCATTTACCCCAGTATTTAGAGTTTCCTTAAGACATAAGATATTAATGTTTATACGATCATCAAATGCAGATTTGCTCCTTTTATAGGGTATACCGCAGGAGGTCATTATACACATCCAGGAGCGGCTGTAGATCCTCTTTGCTTACCGACGGATCCAAGTGGGGGATCTTTAAAGGGTGGTTTTGATGGGCATAAGGGTCTTGTTTATGGAACAGAGTATGAAACAGCAAGCTTTAAGGAAAACATATATTTCAATGCATTGCATGATCATGATGTCCCATGTGCTGTGTGTCTTGCTCAAAACAAATCCGTTTTAAAGATGTTTCCAGGTGAGAAAACCTTTTACAAGTACCCAGGTAGTAAATTTCATATAAATAGTAGGTACATTAATATTCTTGGAAAATTCATAGTTTAATTTTAGCATTTGACGTGCATTTAGGACATTAAGAGATTAAAGTCGCATTGCAGCAAAACAGGTTTTGGTATGTTAGCTGCATGGCCAACAGGCCTTTTAACATGATTTTGATTTTCATATACCAGAACGAGAAACTTCAATGGACAAGTTGCAAAAAGGTACACTATGCATTTCAGTACTAAAGAAATTAATTACCGTTCGTTTCAAAGCTCATTACGTGTAAATTTTGTCCTTTCACTCACTCACTGATGAAAGAAATCTTTTGTCATTCTTGCTGGTTAGAGCTCCTTGAACTTATCAATTGTTGATCATAGAATATGCATATATAAATTTTATTGGAATTCCTTTCTATTTGTTATACATGTAGTGTTGATTGAATTTGATTGCACTTATTTATTGGCTACCACCTTTGCAAGGTTGGTCTTCTCTAATTTAATATACAATTATATTAAAAAAAACAACTTAATTTTATTTTCGAAATTAAAAAAAGTTCACATTGGACTTGTTTTTCCATGATAGTTTTTCATTTGCAAAATTCCACCTTTGTTGCAGGTTTCATGCTTAATGTGTTCAAATAGGGAAGATTAAGTTTACCAGTAATTGTATTCGTATTTACTTAATTTATATAATTACTAAACATTCCATAAGAGCTAATTTATGAATAAGAACGTAAAATTCAGATCAGCTGGAATTAATCATTGTAATTCTGTGCTTCAAATTTTGAACGTGTAAAACAGCCTTTACACAAGGTCTTATAGTTTTACAACTTATTCTTTATCTTAAGTTTCTTAAATGTCTTTATTATTCCTATTAAAAGTAGTCTTGGCAATTATTCCAATACATCTTAATGAGATGAATGTGATATTTCATTTTAGCAAGAAAAAGCTGTTACGAAGGCTGGTCACTTGAGTACGAGGGTTATCTAATGGCGGGAAATTATCGTCACCCAGCGGGTAAAACATACACATGTGTAGACAAGAAACCAGAAACCATACATGGCGGCCATGCAAACAACGATGGTTACCTATTTTATTTTGTTGAAGCTGTATGTGGTTCATTGAAATGTCCACCATATGTTCAAGGGAGAGAGCTAACTTGTGCCGTTTGTTCAAAAATGTAAACAATAAAATATAATACAATATATAAGAATACAACTTTTTCATAATTAAAACCATAAAATGCTGTCTTATATTGTTAGTACGGGTATTATTGTCGCAGCTGTTGCAGAAAAAATACATGACTCGCGTAAGAGCTAGGCTACCTTTTTGTAGAAGCCTAGAGTGGTTTATCGAAATGTCCCTATATGTTTAAGGGAGAGAAATAACTTGTGTGTTTTTCTAAATAAAACAAATATGAATAAAATATAAATGCTATTAGGACATGAGGTTATTTTTGTAATTTGCTCTCGTAGGTTGTTAGTCGAACTTGCTGGACTTTTGTGTATGTTTTAAATAAACTCGCAGCCATTTCTTGATTTACTGTCATAGACAGAGATTTTTTAGAATCGGCATCCTTTTTGAATAGTCACTATCTAAACTGTTATAATAACATTTTAGCTCACCAATTAAACAAAGGTATATGAAAGTGAATTAAACGCCCTTCGCGTTTTTCCGGATAAGTTTTTTGTAATTTTTTTTGTCCCCCGCTTGAAAAGTGGGGGATTTAAATTTGGGTTTGGTCCGTCGTCCGTCCGTCCTCCGTATGACTTTCTGTCTGTCTGTAACGCTTTCGTTTCCAGACGATATCTCGAAACCCTTTGAGTTTTCAAAGAAATTTAGCATAGCAACTCCCTATGGACTAAAGAAGACCCCTATTGATTTTGAGGTCAAAAGGTCAAAGGTCAAGGTCATAAATAAGCAACACAAGACGAAAAAAACCCCCTTTGAAGTTTGGTTTGTAATGGTGACTTTGGTGGTTAAAGAATTAATTCCTTTAAGCCACCATTAAGCCACCATTAACTGAACTTACAGGTGCTTAATGTCCAAACTTCATTAAGCTACCATTAAACCACCATTAAGCTGAGCTTAATGGGGACTTAATGGTCAACCCTATTAAACTTTTTCGCATCTTATATAGAATCTTTGAACTAACTTTTATTTATTTTAATATCATTTACGCAAAATCTATTCCAACTCATAATTCTGTCTCGATCATAATTTCTACGAGTTTTTTTTCAACATGCATAAACTTGATCACTGGGAACAAAGTTAGCTAATAGCCACAGGGGCTTGCTCGAGGTGTCTATTTTTTTCTTAAAATCATTTACAGTGATAATAAAACAAAACATCCTGTATCAGAACGTATATTATTTTTTTTAAATAAATATTATTACATGCGTTGTTTTTATTTTTAGTGTATATGATTTTTAGAAAAAATTTAAACACACTGTGAACAAGTCCTTGTGAAATATCTTAAATTTACAATCCCAAAAATCAATTTGTTCTTAAAATTATCTATATTCATGAACACAAAATATATATTACTTTTTAAAAACAAAATGGTATTTTTATTTCATGTTTTAAAAAGAAACATTCCGCTACAGAATTCACAGGAATATAACTATATAATCTCATGAAAAAAAAATCTCTGTTTTTTTTTTTGGGGGGGGGGGGCACGGATACAAATGTTTAGTTTTAAAAGATTACTTTTACCATGAAAACTTTTTAATGGCTTTTACATCATGAATAATTCTAATTAATTCGTTATTTTTTTTTAAAACAGCGGTAATTTCTGTCAAAATCTAGTCGGTCTTTAATGATTGTTATTTCAAAATCGATTTTCAGAGGAACGGCCGATCAGACTAAACATGACATCCGACCAGATATATACACATTGAAAAAGGGGGAAAAATTAACAGATGATCAGTGTACAGTAAACCGACTGGTCAGACAATAGACCTTAATTAGGTGTCCCCCCGTCCCATTAACTAACAGAAAACTATACATACACAACTAACTGACAGATTTTAATGATCAATTTTTTTAAAAAAAAAATTAAATTTAACGCAAGCATATTACAAATTAAAAATTTGATTCATCGTAAAAAGTCAATTATTTTGATACCCAAATATGATACAAAAAGAATTGAAACTGAATATGATATTCTAAAAAAAGATCTTGTAAACGTGATTAACCAGGTAACTCTTACGCGAGGATTGTCACTAAATTGTTGACACAGAAACCGTTAATATCCGCAGTATATCAAAAATAATAGTAAAATCTGTTTTTTCCTCTTTCTTTTTTGATGATAGACTTTTGTATTTTATCTTAAATTAAATTTTTTTTTAATCATGATTTAATGCTTACATTTCGAAAATTTTCGAATAACAGAGCGAAGAACTCAATCACATTACATCAATCTAAAAACCGAACTCAGTGTAGAAATATATATTAATGTGTTAAATCCACAAATAAAATTGTTTATATTTTGATTAATAAATCAATTAAGACTTTTGGAAATGTTCAACAAAATACTAGTAAATACCTTTACAAGTCCAAACAAATTTTAAAAAAATTAAGGTTAAATATTTGATATTTTCATTACATTATCAAGGCGGGATCCCCAGGGGAAAGGTTTTTTTGAAAAAATGTATGGGGTGGCCCCCTGAGGCTTTTTTTTTATTTTTGAATTTCGTTCTTTTTCATAATTTTTACCAAATCAAGATATAAGCGAACTCTACATTTATAATATTGATAACAAATCACTATAAAAATAATTTTTCACCCATATAAACAATATTATCGACTGCGTAATGTGACTTAATGGTGGCTTAATGGTGGCTTAATGGTAGCTTAATGGTAGCTTAATGGAGTTTGGACATTAAGCACCTGTAAGCTAGCTTAATGGTAGCTTAATGGTGACTTAATGGTGGTCTAAAAGTTACCATTGGGGACCTGTAAGCCACCATTAATCTTAATGGTAACTTAATGGTGGTGTAAATGTTACTTAAAGGTGCTTAATGGTAATTAATGGTGACTTAAAGACAACCATTAAACCACCATTAAGGACCTATAAGCCACCATTAAGCCGGACTTAAAGGGTTTTTTCATCTTTGCAAATTTTGTCTGTTATAACACTTTCGTTTCCACACATATTCAAGAACCCTTTGAGCTTTTGAAATGAAATTTTACATAACAACTTCCTTTGGCTTAAGGAAGACCCCTATTGATTTTGAGGTCAAAAGGTCAAAGTTCAAGGTCGTAAATTTAAAATACTGTTTGTATAAACACTATATTTTCGGGCGATATTTCAAGAAGTTTTTTAGCTTTTGCTATGTAATATTACACCAAAACTCCCTAGGACCTCTCTCACTCCTCTCAAAGTGCCCCGCCCCTTTTGTTTTTTTAGTATTTATTGTATTACATGTCGCTATTTTTAGTACAGGGACATGAGGAGAATTATCACGTATATAACAGGTTCTCGGTGGACTTTATATTCTTATTACATCTTTTAGAACTGTTTAATAAAGATTAAATCAGACACCATGCATTGTGTAAAATTTTGACAATATCAAACTAATATATACATGTATGTCACTTCATGTTTGTATACAATTGTTTCAAGGTTACAGCGACTCCGTGGTCTAGTGGTATGTCTCTCGCTTCAAATTAAGGGGGGATGCATCTCGGACGTTCATTTTTTTTTCGAAATACTTTTCTTTTTTTACTAAACGATAGTGTTCAGCATGTGAAATGAAAAATTTATGAGGTCTGGCTTGTACAAACTTATAATATCATTATTACAGTGTGATAAATATTCCATATAAAAAAATTTCTACACATATAATAAAGAATAATCCATCAAACCTTTATATCCATATTGGCATATTTTATTTGCTTACATTGTATGTATACATTTTATACATCTAATAATTCTACAAATTCAGTGAAGGGGATCCGAACCGCCGACCCCCAACTGCGATGGTTTACTTTTCCCTAAGCGGGGGACAAAAATTCTCTGAATTAGCTTGTTAAGTACTTCTTTGTCTTATATTGATCATACTTGCATGAAAGATGCTTCTAGTGTGTTTCATTGTACCAGACGGGTTTGATATGCAATATTGCAATATTAGCAAAGATTATGACCAGGTTAATGTTTTTGAAAGAGGTTAGCATTTTTAGTGCAGTTTTGGTGTATGTTTTATTTCCATGTAATTATGAACCCTATGATAGTCACACTTGCATGGATGATACATCTAAGGATGCATCCGAGCTTGTTTGGATGCTGAATCTGACCTGTGTTTTTCCCGATTCGATAACAGCTTAATGTACTTGTGCAGGTCTCATTTCTAAAATGCTATAAGCCTTATAACGACAAAACTTGCCTTAAAAGATGCACACTTTAGACTTGATTCGGATGCTAAATCGATCTTAATTTTCCGGATGAGTAAACAGGTTAAATTTTTTGGTGCAGGTATCATTTATAATTATATGTAAGTAGCTTGGAGCCATTAATGACCAACCTTGCATGGATGATACATTAAAGGATGCATACTACTAGACTTGCTT